CAATTTGCCAGCAAATTTGGAAAACGCAACAGTGGCCACAGGATTGGAAAAGGTCAGTATACATTCCAATCCCAAAGAAGGGCAATGCCAAGGAATGCTCAAACTATCGCACAATTGCACTCATATCACACGCTAGCAAGGTCATGCTCAAGATCCTACAAGCTAGGCTTCAACAGTACATGGATAGAGAACTGCCAGAAGTACAAGCTGGGTTTCGAAGAGGTAGAGGAACGAGAGATCATATTGCCAACATTCGCTGGATTATGGAGAAAGCAAGAGAGTACCAGAAAAACATCTACTTCTGCTTCATTGACTATGCTAAAGCTTTTGACTGTGTGGATCACAACAAACTATGGTAATAAAAATGAATGAATGAATGAATGAATGACGATACGACTTTAATGACAGAAAGTGAAGAGGACCTAAAGAGCCTCATGCTAAGGATGAAAGAGGAGAGGGCAAAAGTTGGCTTGAAACTCAATATCAAAAAAACTAAGCATGGCATCCGGCCCAATCATTCCTTGGCAAATAGAAGGGGAAGTCATGGAAGCAGCGACAGACTTCACGTTCCTGGGATCCAAGATCACTGCAGATGGTGACTGCCGCCATGAAATTAAAAGGCGCCGGCTCCTTGGGAGGAAAGCAATGGCAACACTAGACAGGGAAAGTGATGGCAAACGTAGACAGCATAATAAAAAGTAGAGACATCTTCCTGCCAAGAAAAGTCCGTATGGTCAAAGCAATGGTATTCCCAGTAGTAATGTATGGCTGCGAGAGTTGGACTATAAGGAAGGCTGAGCGCCGAAGAATAGATGCTTTTGAATTATGGTGCTGGAGAAGACTCTTGAGAGTCAGTCAATCCTAAAAGAAATCAACCCTGACTGTTCCCTGGAAGGCCAGATACTGAAACTGAAGCTCAAATACTTTGGCCACCAAATGAGAAGGGAGCACTCACTGGAAAAGACCCTGATGCTGGGAAAGATTGAAGGTCAAAGACCTGTTGTATTGCCATCTGCTACATTTCGATCTGATGTATTTTGCTTGTTTCCTTCGTGTCCCATTATATGTTTAGCTTGCCCTTTGTTCCCTTATTGCTGCCCTTGCTGCCACTGCATTCCTGGGGGGAGTGAGTGTCTGTAGTAATTTAGGGAGGCTAGCTTTGGTAACTCTTCTAAGAGGCCTCAAGACATCTTTCACATGAGAAATGTCCTTGAAGTAAAGTCTGTGTCAGGCTATTATAGTGGTTGTATATCCTTCAGGACCACAGTAGTAATGCTGATGTTGAATGCGTGGAATTTGGGGATGTAACTATACCTTGTGTTTCCTGCCTTGCAAATCAGTCCTAGCAAAGTGTTTGAACCCACAGCATCTCATATCTCTAAATAAAACATTCACCAAAGAAAGTGCATGTGGAGAGTGATTTGACTGGGAACCTGGGAAAGATTGAAGGTAAAAGAAGAAGGGGATGACAAAGGATGAGATGCTTAGACAGTGTTACTGATGTAATGAACATGAAATTGAGCAAACTCCGGAGGATGACGGAGGACAGAAGGACCTGGTGTGATGTACTCCATGGGGTCATGAAGAGTCGGACTCGACTGTGCAGCTGAAGAACAACAAATGGGCCCTTGTGCCATTTGGGGGAGGGATGGAGAGAGAGGAGGAGAGTTCATACCTAACATGTACAGCTAGTATGAAGAATAATAGAGATTATATAATATACTCAAACAATCTGGAAACTTTTTTTGAACTCTGTCAGGAGAGACAATGATTAAATGCTTAAGACATTGGTGATGGAAAATGCTGCTGACTTAGGGAGAACCCATAGGGTTTGCAAGGAAAGAGAGAAATATGTGTGGTTTTGCCTCCCTCTTTGAAGCAACTCTTTACTTCCTTGGTGGTCTCCCATACAAGTAATAACCAGAGACAAGCCTGCTTAGCTTCTGAGATCTGATAACACTGGGCTAGCCTGGGCCATCCAAGTCAGGGCACTTAAGATAGTACAGTACAACAAAAGAGACATGCTACATGGTTTTGGTTCTAGATATTTGCGAAGAAGAAGAAGAAGAAGAAGAAGAAGAAGAAGAAGAAGAAGAAGAAGAAGAAGAAGAAGAAGAAGAAGAAGAAGAAGAAGAAGAAGAAGAA